CTTTGTCTAAAAGGGAAACCAAAATAAAAAATCAGCCCGGATTTCATGTGTTCGACAAGTTTACTTTATAAAATCTCGCCAACAAGTCTGGTGGCGTGTAAACCAGCCTTTTATACTTTTTATACATCACATCTGAGATACACAGTACTACATGTAAGATGCGCTGTTTTTTTTATACAGACCTCGGACAGATTTTGCTCTTTTTTGCCCTATTTTTAAAAACCTGTACTTCTGCAGTTTTCCACAATTTTGCAAGACAAATTGCACTCATTCATTATCCAGGACGATCGAAGCACGCGCTTCCTTTGCACAACAAATCACAGAATTGACTACATTATAAAACGTTTTCATGAAGACTGTTCAGTAAGAACAATCTGCTCCTATGTGGCATGTAGGGTATTAATGCTTTAAAAAAATCCAAAATCAACTATAAAGCCAGCCGGTTCTCACTTTTGATAAGCCCCATGCGTTGAGTGATTGAATGATTGAACGTTAATAGAGTTACGCTTGAGCATAATAAAGAATTTGTTATGTTTATTTCTTATTTATGGTTTTGTTAAGTTCATGTGCAATCTTTAATCTTTAATTTAATAAACTAGATATTGTTGTCTATTGCCCAGTTCAAAGCGATATATATCTATTTGGTTAAAACTATTATTATTAAAATTAAAAAGACGACTGGAATTTTTGAAAGATAACATATATTGCCCAGGGCTGCTGAATGTGTCTTTCGTAGTTATCGTTATTTTGAGAATTGTGAAATTTGAGTATTGAGTACAGTGTTTATTTCACGTCCATTTGAAAAATTGAGTTGGCTGGTAACTCTATTATTTTTTTAAAATGGCAACTCCAAACATTTACAACATATGGATTGAAGTTTAGTAGTTTTTGTCTATTATTTTGTTGGCTCAATTTCATAGGCTGTATGAAAGTCATAAATTTTAGCCGCATCTATATTACTTACACTCCCTGTAGTACCATAAGCGTGACGTAATTTCCCGTAAAATTTTCTGGATAAGTCTGTAAATCGGTCCCATCTTGGAGTATATCGACTAACGAATGGAGCTGGTACAAAGGGTCTACGCAGTTTTCCTAAAATTGACTATGACCCGATGATAGTACATAAACTCTACACATAAACTCTCACTTGACTTATCTATGACTGAATTTTTTCACCGCTACATTTCCAATAGTCAATCCTTTGGATGTTGCCTTATCAATTGACATTCTCGATTTATGTCAAAGTTGATAATTAACAATTATTCTTTGAAATCGAGGTGAATAGTGGCAAAATATTTACCGAGGCGCGAAGCGGCGAGGTAAATATTCCTAAAGCCACTATTCACCGAGATTGAAAAGAATAATTGTCTTAGTATATACACACGAAGTAACTGATTTGATTGACGGATCAAATCACGCGAAAGATTAAAAATAGATCTTTGCAGAATTTTCAAACACGGCAATTCACCAGTTTATCACTTCGCAAACAACAGCGTAACGGCTTAAATGGAACCGTCAAAAGTTTGAATTATTTCGTTTCCTGAGAACAAAAGTAGAGCTTTGCTGTTTTCTGTTGACTCGCCAAGTTTATAGCCAAAAGGGTTTGTTGTGTCGTTCTTCGCATGAAGTGCTGACAAAAATGACGGCTCGGTTGCTCGAGGTAAGACGTCGTCTTCCTATACAATTCTTTTTCCTATTTACTTGAAACGTAGAATTTTTTTTGCAAACATTTGCTTTCAAATTTGTTCGTCATAAATAGACTTCGACTTTTGGACCAAATTTTCTTGTTAGGAAACGCTGAGTTCACGAAACAGCTTCTTCTACGCGAATAAACGGGAGTTGCAAAAAAATCCATCGAGCACAAAACTCAGCTACAGTAAATGGAAAAACGCCGTTTTGAATCCTTCCAAGTCATTCTTTGCCTTAAAAAAAGTCAACCCTAGGATTTCGTCGACTTTCAAAAGATCGTTCTCTAAAAAAATGGGAAAAACACCAACCTCACACATTATCCACTCGCTAGGAGGTGAATATTGTTGATTAGTACATACACACTCAGTGATCTTGGTAATTCAAGTAATCTGATTGGTTAGCTATCTCGGACTATGACGTTATATTCACCGCGCTAGGCGGTGAATATAAAGCACAACAAAATCGCTTTCGTGAACTGGGTGTTTTCCCAAAGTTTCATAGTAAGGCCTTTTTGGAAATACACGAATATCCAAGTTCTGATGACTTTGATGGCAAGAAAAGACTTCATGGTGTTTAAACAGCGTGATTTGTTGTGAAGTGGTTTACTGTAGCTGACTTTTTGTACACTCGAAGCTATGTTTAGCACTTCAGAGGAAAATGAGGTCGCTTTGTCACTGTTTTGTGATTTCGGGGTTTTCTCGCAAGACCAATTTTGCCTACAAATAGAAGTTAATTTATGGAGAAAAGAGGAAGGCAAATATTTTCGAAAATTGTACGTGCCAGCAAGTTAACAAGGCAAAGAACTTTGGAG